GAAGTCTAACACCACAGACAAAAAGGACTCAGATCAAAACAGGTGATTTAACCACTAAAATTCTGAGTGTATTCTGGATCAGACAAAAGGGGTATTCTGTACACACAGACCCAAAACATAGATTCTAAGTGAATTCAAAGCAATTTATCTGAAACTTAGTTAAGTAACATGTAGAAATTGTTAAAAACTTCTTAAAAAATAGCATATGCAAATAATCAAAAAATTTACATATTTTGTTTTAGCAGATTCAGTAAAATTATTCCAGATCTCACATATAAAAGAAGAAGTCTTATCCACAAAGATTTTAAGGTTATTAAGGAAAATATGCTTTCATTGCAATAGTTTACTTAGGTGAAAAAAAAAGTTGACAAATTTTACTTTATAAAAGTGTTTATATTCACCTTGAATTTCAGGAAGGTATCTAAAAATATTACTTCAGAATTCTATCTTCTGATTGAAAAAAAGTCTGCAATGCTCTGCGAACATTACACAGCTCCTCTTCTTGCTGTGCAAAAAAGCACTACAGTTAGCACACGCTTTAACTATTTTTCTTTAAAGTATTGTAATTCTGGTGCATAGTATATGGTGCTTTTAACATATCAAAATGATAGATTCGACACACTAAGACTCAGAACTAAACCAGTATATCCATATCTGCCTGTAGCTTTTATCACCTGGATAAGATTTGAAGTATAACGTGTCAATGCTATTTGGATTCTGACTCCCTTTTAGTTTTGATTAGGGGACTAAAAATTACAATTGTTAGTAACTTAGTGTTCAAACAGCTATACTCACACAATAAACACAAATGAGGACAAGATAACTTCATTTACCATTTCTTTAAGAAGTTTCTCATGGAGTCCTTTTATGTCTTCTTTCATCAGATGAATCTACAAAGAGACACTGAATGCATCTTCTCTGCTGGCAAACGGCAACTCATTTTCAAGATGACAATTACATCCCTAAATGGTTTATAACTGAGATACAGATGCACATGCATCTGCCTGCCTAAGGAAAGGGATGTGTGTTTTAAATTTGTTCTTTCTTGGATGACTAACAACAGTAAATGAAGCCACAGAATAAATCTTGCAGCAGTTTTCCAGATAATTGCACGTGCCTTCTAATGGGTGAAATCTAGCCCTAATACACTTCATACTGTTACATTAAAGGATATTTTGCAATACAGAAGGATATTTTGCAAGACAGAAATACTTATGTGGCACTAATACAAGGCTGAGGATAAAGATTTTCTTGGGGAAAAAAGTCAATACTGATATCTGTTGGTAAAATTTAAGTATTAAAAATTATTTATAAAAAGAAAGAAACAAAACCTACCTCTGAAGTAAAAATATGCTCTTCATAGTCAGTATGGTAGATGTTCTTCTCAAATGAAGTTTTAAGAATCTGAACTCTAAATAAAACAAAGGCAGTTCAAACAGCTTTGCTAGGTATGAACTGCCCCCACACATCATGAATACATCCCATTATTTGTAGCATATTTGTACCTAAAAGTATGATTCAATATTACCACCACTGTTATTACTGGAAGAGTCCAGCAGGTATAGGAAGAAACCTAGATGGAAAATAATTACATTTCTCCTGTAATGTAACATTTTAATCTCAGTTTTTCATTGCATCTACTGCTTCTATTTTATGGAAGAGAGAAACTACACAGAGAATAGTAGTTCCCCTCACTTATACCTCAAATGAACAGAACACTGATCTCCACCAGGGATTAATGAAGCCTACTAACCTTTGCTGCTCATTTTTCCTGTAGGTACTAAAAGTATGTCTATGTTTTTCCCAAAAGGTCTGGAAAGAAAAATATGAAGAGATGATTATCAGTAGGAAGTAATATTTTCTGATCTAAAACTGACTGCTGTCTAATATGAATAAAATAACCTTCAACCACAGACTCAGCACAGAATGGATAGGAGGTATACAGTCATCACAGACACTTGAAAAAAATAAGCTCAGCTAGCAGGATGGGGCACTTCAGGAATCCTATTTTCAAATATTCATTTTTATATGAATGTTTATATATCCATTTTTCCATTACAGCAAGTAGCAGACTTACAATGTCAACTATTTTGTCATAGAACACAGGGTAAGTCAGGTTCAAAGGCCTACATGCTGCTCCCAAAATACAGGCCAGCTGAAAAAAAAAAATGCTCAGGAAGGGGGGTAAGAGCCTGTTAAAAGCAGTAGTAGTAGTTTATTCTAGTAAGAAAAACATGTAGTGCAGATGTAGAAGTTATGAGAGTGTTAGCATTAGCCAATCCTAACAAATCAAATTAATGCTCTGAAACTTCACGCAACTTTAAGCAGAATGATAAAGACTTTAAAAATCCAAATTAATGACCTAAACTTAACAACAATATGAATAATCTATGGCTTCCACACGAGTTCACTTTTCTCCATGACCAAGCCATTAAATACAAACCGAGAATTCTTTTTCCATGTTTTTCAAGGACTGAGAATCTTGTTCAAATTTCTCAAGTTCCTCAAGGAGAGCAACATGAAATTTGTCCAGCTGCCTGATCCTACCAAAACAAAATAAGTTACTTTTAGAAAGCATTCATTGCATTTTAAGGGGCTCTTAAAAGAAATCTTTTGTCACAGACCTGCTTTCACGAAGCTCATAGCACATTGTTGTCAGATGCTCATGGGCAGCTCTTAACGATTGCTTAGTAAAATGATCCATTTTCCGTGAGCGGCTCTGTGAGGAAGTTTTAACATCAAACTCAGACCATTTTCACTTTAGGAACCTCCCCCCCATATTCAGTACTATAATTGCTTAATACCGGAGATTATACTAGGAAAACCTCCTTTTTTTAAAAAAAAATAAAAATATATATCTCTGTCCTTTAAGGAAAAGTTTTCTGCTCATGAAATGTAAACAAACATAGGTTTATGTTTTTGATAAAATTCTATCCAACTTGATTAGAAGTTATATTACTTGAATAATGTATTCCCTCAACACAGAGCATGTACACATGGAATGGATGATGTATGCTTACAGCTGTGTTAAGATGAACAAATGCATTATTCAGGCTCATGTGTTTCTTTTTACAGACAAATTTCATTTGTGTGTTTGACAATTTGAAAAAAAAACAAAATGCAGCACACTTACTACTCTAGATACATAAACTTGTTTTGAAACAGATAGGATTAAAAAAAATAAAGCAGAGCTGGGAATGAAAATCATTAAAGAGTTAAGAGAAACTGAAAAAGGCATAAAAGGCAACTTGAATTTTGTCACTTCTTGAAGTTCAATGCACATAGCTATTTTCAGGTCCTTTAAAAAGCAAATTCTGTGCTGTAAGACAAGTGATCATTCCTATGCACAGGTACCCATGAGATAACTAATACTGTATAAGAAATGTCTTGCCTCGATTTTCTTGGTGAATTCTTTTTGGAACTTCTGACATATACTGATAGTTGTGCAATCAGGTTCCCAGATTTCCCCATCCAGAACAGACAAATCATTCACAGATAGAGTAGATATGCTTTCAGACACTGAAGAGAGGTGAAAAAGACAATATCCCAATTCAGTATGATAAAGGATCCTATCCAGGGCCTATAACAGCTTTGATTACACAGACTAATTTTGTCAATTAGATGGCTAAGATCAGTGCCTCTTTACACATGTATTTTCTGAGTTTTTAAAAGGATACAGTCTTTAAGTATTAGCATCTCTTTTTACTGCTTTTTTTAAAATATGTAAAATACTTTTTTAATAGATATGATATTTTCTTGTTAAAACTTTGCTATGTTATTTTAAACTTTTGCACTAGTGTAGTCAACTTCCGCTCCATAACTAACCTCTGTAAGTAACAGCATCATCTGTTTTAAATAATCTTCTAGGCTGTAACTTTCTTGTTCTCTTTCCTTTTTTTTCCACCTCTTTGTTTGTTTTTACTTCATCAGAATTGCTTTCTGTATCACTTGGGTACTTTCGTTTGAGACATGTCTGCACAGTCGGTCCTTAAATAAACACAAAAACAATGTCTAATTTTAGGGTTATTTAGAACAATGACATGGGAGGACAAAGAAGAGTTTTTCTTAACCTTTATGGAGACACATAGGAAGCCTTTTACTTTAAATCACATTTGTACCTGACTCATGAATGGGAGCATAAGGTTCTTCACTCCAAGACTGCACCTTACTTCCACTGGAAGCAGATGACAGAGATGGTGGTACAGTACCCTGAAAGAAAAGCCACTGATTTATGAGCTTCCAGATTAAAGCACGTTCAGAAGTCTTCATCAGATATCCACATTTATGTTATTTTCATTAAACTAGTGACATGAACACAACTCCAGTAAGAAAAGAAATAAAAATCACTGTATGAACTACTACTAGGTCTCATTAGAAGAAAGAATAAACAATTCTTTCCTTGCACCCATATGATAATTCCCTAAATTATCTCTAACCTTTAAAAATTAATGAGTAGGATTTTCCAAGCAGGTCAAAAGGAAACATCATATATAGTGTTTAACACTAAGAAAGATGCATTTCCCCTAAACCTCACCATCTGTAAAGTAAATTGAATAGACTAAAAGCTGCAGCTCTCTTCTGAAGAGCAAAGGATTCAGTAACATACCTCTTCTCTACCTTTGGCGATGGGTCTAGTTGTATCTTGCAGTTTTCCTTTAATAGAAAGTGTGTCTGAAAAGCAAGGTCTGAAACTGGAATCTTTGTTACCATCACGTGCTTCAGATACAGATCCCTTTGCATGTTTTCCACTGACAGGTTTAGACCTTGTCGAGGTGAGCTACACATGAACAAAAACCATCATTATTGAAGGGAAATTTACAAAAAGATACAAGTCAGCAGCTGAATGAAACAATTTCAGTTAAAATAACTGTAGAATAACATTCTTACCAAAGATGCTTCAGTTAAAACTGGGGAGAAACTTTTATTTCCAAATGTTAACTTTTTAACAGGTGTCTCAGAAGACTGATTTAGACATTTACTTTGAATATTCTTTTTTGGCAGATAGAAGTCATTGGGAGAGATTCCTTTCTCAAAGTTTAACATTTCTCTTTTTTCTGGCGTTGACTCCTGAAGACCAGGTGACATCTGCTCTTGAGTAATATCTCCTTCTGATATTATTTCAGCACCTAGAAAATAGTTATTTAACTCTCAGCATGAGGAATGAAATGGAAAAAAAAAAAGCTAAGTTAAAGCCCCATATCGCTAACTGTTCCAACTCTAGATATTTGCAAGTCTTAGACGTGCGGAACTTTAAGAGCTGGCATATGACTTGCTGCCCTCGCACTTTTTGCACTCTCTGCACTTTTCAGCTGTTATCAGATTGTCTGACACTACAAGTATTGTACTTCTCTTTTATGCTGATGTGAAATCACCGTATCAAACCATCAAGGTGTTAGTGACATATTAATAACCGACCTTAAATGATGTGGTAGGGGTTATCTCTTATTTTAAAAGCATGAAATAAAGGTAAAAGGTGTACTACTGTGATAATCCTCATTTAACCTCCAACTTTTGATACAGTATTGCTATAAAAGTCAAAATACCTACACCTCATTGTTTCAAGAGATGCAGGACTCTCAGGTGAGGGCTTTTCAATTTCCTTTTGTTCTGCAGGATTCTTTGATTTAATAAATGCTTTTTGTATGTTGGCAGTTACTCCTCTCTTTGACTCCACACATACAATATTCTGGAGATCCTTTTGCCAATTATCATCCTTTATTTTCCCATTTGTATGCTTCTATTAAAATACAAAGTTTATAGAAACATTACTTGTAAACACCCAGAAGTGTATGTAACGTGCAGGTAAAAAGCATATTAAGCAGCTCAACTCGCTCACATTGAGCACTTCAAATTCAGGAGTACCAAATACAAAGTAGACTAGAGTTTATTTTGAAAACTAGGGCAGAAGTGGATTTTTCAAATAAAGGGCAACTGTATACCTCTGGTTTTGATTTCTCCTCCTTATAGGTGCATGCTGATGATGTCCTTTCACTCTCTGACTCTGAACTGGAAGGTTCTTTATAGTTTTTTGCCAGTGTTGCTCTTCGAGGTCGTTTTTCTCTGGTGGTTTGTTCTATTGATTCATCAGTTCTTGCACTCTGTTTTTTACATTCATTTACCTTTGGAAGAATAAAAATGTCTTCAGTTTATATCAGAATAATTAATGAATAAATATATAAGAATAAATGGCAGGTAACTTGGTTTAATTACTTGAAATCCAGTATTTCAAAACAACTAAAAAAGTTTTAATTTTACCAAAGCTCAGAGACTCTAACCATCAGTCTACCATCCATTTGGGGAAGATAATTCTCACTGTAGATAGGGCACAGTGCAAGCAGGGATATAAGAGTTGAAAAAGTGAAAAGGAAAAACAAATGCCAATTTTCAACTATGGCAAAGCTGAAGTGGGTTTCCAAAGCTTGCTTTCTGAAATACGTGCACGTTTAAATTAGATTGTAACTGGTTTAAAATAAAGCAAAACCAAAAGCCTACATGGACCAGGATCCTTGATCATCACCTTTGAACCAAGTACCTTAGACCCTAGACTGGAATTGCCTCTTCCTATCTGTCCCCCTTCTACATCATAACTACTGCCATGCTCCCTACACAGTACAGAATGTTCAGAAATAGAGCCAAGTGTGTTCTCATGAAACAGGTCATGAGGTCCCCGGGGACCTGACATGAGAAAGGATGAAATATGTACGTGCAACACCTCCCAGATTAGGAGAGGTTAGAATTCTTGACTCTAACTCTTTTGTAAAGCACTCTATGCAAAACACACGCATTTGTAGCCTCTCCATCTCCAGGACCAAGTCTATTGGTGACTCCCGAGCTTCAGATACTTCCCACCTATGTCTGTGCAGTAGCAGAACCCCACCTCCTCAAAGTAGGTACTCTGAACTTGTTTGGGTAGATCTGGGGAATTTCTCTACTAAAAAGGAAACATTTTCCTTGATAGACTGCTTCAACATTTGGCACTTGAAACACTCCTGAGTTTTGAAGCCCTGTTCAGAACTGAACCCCTCTTCAGTTTTACATGGGCTAGACATCACCATTGAGACATACATGTGGTGATCAGATCCTCACTGACTTGCAGTCAGGTTAAAGCTACTAACATCATATAGAATCTAATAATTACTGTACAATCTGAGAGACCAAAGAGTAGCCTGGACAGGACAGATTTTGCTTTTTTTTGCCTTTTTTTTAAAAAAATAAATCCCTGTGACTTACTAACATCTACAAACACCTTCCATTAACACATTCATGATCACAATTTATTATACTCACAACTTTAATATGCTTACAATATTTTGAAATTATCATTTCTTAATATCTATAACAGTTTTCGTTCTGCAGTTTCACTATATTGCATAGATTTAACAAATTATAATGTCAAAGGTGAATTCAATTAAACATATTAGCCACATGAAAACCCTTGCTGAAAAGCTAATGTCATATTCAATGGAGTAGATGGCTCTTAAACAGTAGATACAATAATAGTTTTAAGTAATAAAACTTACAAAAGCATCAATGTATAAGAATTGTGCTAAGTCATAGCTAGTACTATGCCTGAAATACTTGCTAGATACTACATAAGAATATATTACCTGAAAAGAACTAACTCTATTTAGGCAAATGATCTTGAAATAAGCATAGAGAAATGTCACACATTTAGGAAAAATTATTTTAAAACAGATCCTGTAGTAAGTGAAGATATTGCAAACATGCATTACAGATCTAGTTGCAAATTTACATTTACCTTTTTCTTATTTGTATTTCTGCCTTTAGGTTTATCCACATGACAAGCACGTTCAGAGAATTTATCTGCTGCTACAACAGAAAGTTTAAAAAAAAAAAAAACACAGAAAAATATTCAAACGTTTGACATTTAGAGTTTTGGTGGTAAAATCATGGAACCACTTTTATGCCCGCAAAATTATTCATTCAGTAAACTGCTTTCAGCATGTTATTTTAAAAAGCCAAAGGGGTTTTTTTGTTGTTGTGGTTGACAACAACCTCTGCCTGTCCCATCCTCCAAGAATTTTCCACATTAAAATACAGACTTTATGGAAATTGACCTTTATAAATCTTTAGAACTAATTTGAATATTCCTTATAATTGGAAATAACATAGCAAAAACATAAAAAAAATCTTGTATCTGCAACACAGCACATTCCATGCTGTGCGGAAAATATCTATGGACAAACTTATTGCAGCATTCTTAAAAGAAGTTACAAGTTTCTTACCTTTGTCTGTGTTTATTGGTTTCTTTAAGTTTTTATTTCTATTGTAATCAATTAACTGGGCTTTAGATTTTCTATTTGATTCCTGTAGCCAACTAATATCTGTCTTGTCATCACCTCTGTATTCTGTGTCTGTGTCACTGAAGAGATGTTTCCTACTTGGATTGTTTCTAGTCTACAAAAAAAAAGTTTGTAAGTTATTGATTTACTTTTAATATACCTTTCACTTACATAGTTAGTATTTAAGGCAGGAAGACAAGGTATACTGATTCACAGAAACCTGAGCCTTACTTTTTTTCCTCCTTTCACTTCAGTGCTAGTTTTACTGTCATCTGCATTCCTTAATTAGAAAATGAAAAAACATCTTTAAATGATACATTTAAAAATACTTGTTCTAAATCTCTCTACTATTCATGGGATATGTGGATTACAGATTCAAACAAATGTACCTGCTTTGCTTTTGATCTATACTTTGGAAATATCAGTTCACCTTAAACCCTACAGGATGTGCTTGTTTGCTTATCACCAGTAGGAACACAGAGGAACAACATGTCCCTTTGCAGGCTGATCATTCACAACAAACTACCCTCCCCTATTCAGGGGTTTATATCCCTACAGTATTCCATGAAGAGAACTAAAGTTGTTTTCTTCATGAAACATATTCTTTCCTTTTTATCAGCTCCCCAAAAGAAAAGCATGAAACAGCCCAGGAGACAACAGCAGCTATGTTTATTGCTTGAAAATCAACATAGTCAAGATATTATTGTCATGCATAATATTCCTTGGGAATTTTGTAATGGAATACTGGAGAGTGCAGACAGTACTACACTTGATCACCAGCAGACTAGGACACAGTGTAACATCCCTACCCTTTTTTGTTTGGATCTGTATGAACACTCAGTTCCACAACACGCAGTTCTTGGATCTAAAAATGTAAAAAAATGAGAAACAAATGGAAGTTTTGATTTGTTCAGCCATTTGAACAAAACAAAACAGGCCACCAAGCAGTAACAGCTAAGAGCTTTTTCTGCTCAGTTTTTATACTCGGCAATTAACTTCAGATGATTATTTATGTCTCAGAAATTATCTAAAACCAACTGGAATTGACTGAAGCTTTCAGTATCTCAAACTAAGATACTGGTTTCCATCCACTTGCTTCACTACCTTCATCAATTTGGCAGGCTCCTCTGAGTCAAAACAAGCACAACTCTCTTTCATTGCCTTTGGCTTTGAAATCTCAGCTTTTTTTTTTTTTTTTTTTTCACTCAAAACGTCTGGGCAAGGATGTGTTTGCAATGGGAATTGGAAGGGTAGGAGTAACACTTTTGGGATAATAGGATAATTTTAAAATAATGATGCTCCTAGCAGTTTTATTCCTAATTCAGGAAAATATTGTAATAGTTTTAAGTGGCCAGAACCTCAGGGCAGTGTCTATCATAAATTTGAAAGTGACAGTGCTATTTACATGGCAAATTTATTTTCCCTACTTAGTTCAAGGATACAGTTTGAATGTTTAGATGTTAACTATGCTTTCACTAGATATAATTTGACTCAGCTCCTTTATATTCTATTCATAAGAGTTTTGGTTATATTCTTACTCCAAGTTTTATTGTAGGCTCATCCAACCCACTGATGTTGAAGTTGTAGACATCATCCCTGTCAAAGACATACAGAGATCAATTTTGTGACTGAATTAATGAACATCTCACAAAGTTAGCTATGGGTAATTAGAATTTTTGTATGAAAATGTTTTAACTACTTACATAATACGACCAGCAGTTTTATTAAAAGAAGTAGTGGTATTCAGGCTTCTATCCTGAACTTCTTCCTGTACATGAGTAAGAAGTAAACTCCTATGTCAAATTCATTTATATACAGTCACCTCAAAAGGCAACCTCTTGACCATGAACATACAAAAAAACCTCACAGCTCTTCAGACTTCTGCTTGATTAGTGATTGTACAACATGGCAAAAGGGGACAAGAGCTGGTAGAAAGCAAATCTTTCAGAATTTTATCTTTAAAGACATTAACATAAACCTCAGAATTTTTTTTTTCTCCCCAAAGAACTACTTTCTGTGTCCTGGCTATACTCCATTTAAGGGCTTGCAATTTCTTTTACTTCTAAATTTACTATAATATTTTTTAATTAAAAATATTTAGCACTACCATGTATAAAAGAAACAGATTCAATTATATAACATATAAACAGAAATTAATTTGCATTTCACAGGCTGACAGTTGCCTGTAAAAATATTATTCTGTGTAGGTAGAGATATAAGAAATATTTTAAGTATACACAGTCAATGCATAATTAACATTAATGCCTACAGATATTTAACATTCCCTGTTCATCAACTTTGACTTTACATCTACTAGCTACCATGATATATGGACATATATATGATATGAAAGAAATTTCCAACAAAAGCAGTAAGATGTTACCTTAGAGACACAGGATTTGTTTAAATATGACCTGAAAAATAAGGATACATTTTGTTAAATGCTGATTAGAATACACATTAGAATATTGCTTGTATAAATAAAAGCCTTATCAAACACAAAATTGTTTAGGTATTTAAATACAAAAGTTGGTTAAAAGAGATCAGCTCCTTTCAATTTTCTGCTCTAGACAAATTCCTTCCAGATTGCACAGCTTTTCTTTTTTTAACTTTTTTTGTTAGGAATAGTTTTCTTAATTTAAGAATTTTTTAGATTTAAACTCTAAAAGCCAACTCTTTCAGGAAGAGAGAAATAGGAGCTTCAGATGATCAGAAAACTGATGATTGAATCCAAGTGTGAACCCCAAACTATGGTGATAGGATAGACACTCCCAACATGGACCACCCCAGTTAATTTCTCTCCACTAAATATGTTGTGAATGACCAAAGGACCACTGAATAGAGTTTCTAACAGCCCCCGCAATTATTGCAAATACTGCAGCTATGCAACTATGAGCCTCCTGTTCTTTGACACAAAAGGGTTTACCAGAAGCAAACAAATGATTCAGGATCTTTAACAGTCCCTTCCAACTCAACACATTCTATGATTCTATGAAAGCAGGTTGTGAAATAAATGTAGATAGAGAAGTAGATCACAAAGCCACACACACAAAAGAATAACCACAAAAGTAAATACTTTACTTACCTGTTAAAACCCAAGGATCCTCTTGCTCTGCTTTTCTCATCAGTCTTTACTTTATATCTGTCACTGATTTTATTAATCAGTGATTTTGTTGTGTCTGTCATTTCTTTAGACTTTGTTTTCTATAAAAACAGTTTAAGACTTGACAGTGAATCCATTCAACAGAAGGGCAAAGCTGCAAACAGAACTACAGCTTCCCAACAACCACCTATCCTTCACTAAATATCTTCTTGAAGTACTACACCACAATCCTTTGAAAAATATTTTCCTTTGCATTGCCCAAACAGTGAGCAATAAAACATCAGTTCAGCAGCTACTGCCTTTTCAATGTTGTGGGTTTGTGTACTATAACATTTGAAAGTTAATGGAGAAGTACATAAGAAGCACAAACTGGTGCTTATGTAAGAATTATTTTTTACAAACATAATTTAAAAAAAAGAAATTCAGAGTAAACTTATCTTAAACAGGTCACACTGAAAAAGTAAACAGTGAAGACATTTAATTCCCTTTGCATTAGTAGAAAGTCAATTAAAAACAAGTGTGTGACTAAATGAAAGAAAAATTCTAATTTTGAAACACTGAAAATTTTATAATTCTCTGAATTACAATTCAAAGAAGCAAAGGCAAGAAACTCTCACCGTCTTTGATTGTTTTGAATCTTTTCTGAAGAGAACATCATGTTCCTCTTTTGTAAAATCAGGATGCAAAGATGTTTCGGACACTCTAGCTGAAAGAAATGTTTTAAATGACATTTCAATAGTAGTTGAAATATTTTTCCCTTCTGTACTTAACAGTTTCTGTTTCAAATGATTAACATTCTGACTGTCCACTAAGTATTTTGCAGCCTTCTTCCCTCATGGTATCAATTTAATGTCTTGGTTTTCTCCTCTTTTTTTAAAGAATTTCTTTATCTGGAAAGATACTTCAAAAAACTGAGTAAATCCTTTTTGTTTTCACAGCTCTTTCACTAACTGTAGAAACTAATACAGGAAAACAAACAAAACAAAAGCACAGCTGTACATTAAAAATTTATTTGAAAAATTTTTAACACTAACAGTTAACAAGCGTGAACATAACCTGGTTGGGATGTGTATGTCAACGATGGCTTTGGCTTCTGCTTCTCACCGGTTCTTATATAGGTCTCAGAAATAGAGCATGCTCTTTTTTTCTGTGTTTTGGTTTCATCAAAAGAACTCTCCAAAAGACTAGACAGCCTAACAAAGATAATACCATCCTACCATCAGTGAAATGCAGAAAGGGAGTCTTAATTACAATAAACATGCCCCACAAATATCTTGTAGATATCAATGCATTTTATATTGGTACTTAAGCCTGCTACCATTGTTCAATTAACCAATGCACTGTAAAGCAGCCAACCTTTAGAAAAAAACATGTATTTTAAAGTAAACTTCAAAAAGGCAACAATATCCTTTGGCCACCATTAAACCTTGAACCTAGATAACTCTGTGGTGTGTCACATCTATGACTTTTACAGCACAGTTCACTTATGTCAACCCACACGTCACTTGTATTTTACCTTCTGATGTCATCTAAAAGAACTACTCTGTTACTACTCCTACTTTGATCTTGTTCCTGAGCACTAGAACAGATTCATCAATTTACAGTCTTTAAGACAACAGCATTGTTTATGAAGTAGCCTTAGCAAAATATATTATATATAATATAATAATAGCACCTAAGAGTGCTAGTTTAGTGCCCTGAATTTCAGGCTTACACAGCCAAAAGTTCCTAAAGTAACTCTCAGGGAAGATAAGACAATTAAATTCTAGCATTTTCTGAAAGTATGCAACAAAATTTCAATTCTGGCAATATATGAAAATGCCCCTTTCAAAGTGAGTGACAATAACAGTGACTTCATATTCTTTTCCAATACTTACAAAGGTTTGTCGCTTCTCCCTGCTGGCTGAGAATCTGGAACAATATCTTCAAATGCTTCATCTAAATGAGACATTAAGTTGGTATTAATTACTATTACAAGAGAAAGGGACAAAACTAAAATAATTTTTCAAGTAGGAACTATCAAGACTTGTAAAATTACTTACCTAAAGTTTGCTTCTGTGTGGCCCCCATTTCTTCCTCTTGTACCATTTCCAAAACTTCTTCAGTACATACCTTCTACAGTGGGGTAACACCCAAAAGAAAACATTAGTATAGGATTATAAAGAGCATAACCCTGTAGACTTGTATTTTCCCTAATAAAATAAGAAATTATTTTTTCATTTCATAGAAGTGCTGACTCCAGTACCTTTTCAGATAGTTTTGCCTCATTTCTGCTATTTGAATTCATGATTTTCTGTTCTGTTTCAGCAAATTCATTGTTCAGTGTATATCTCTGTCCACTCTAAAAGCACAATATGTAACACTGACAATTACAATCCATAAAAGCAAAAGAAGTGAAATTTTCCTAGAAAGTAACACTTGCAATATTCTAAACTACACATTCTATATGTTAAAGCCTTTGTGTAAAGCATAAGTATATCAAAAAATGCTTTAGAAAGCCACAGTTGAGGATTTGACCTGAATTTGACCCGGAAAGACATTCAGAACCAGAAATAAAACAAAAAATATTACTTTGATGTCTTTGTTTAACTGAAATAGCAGCAAAACTATATATACTCAAACTGTGATTCAGTGACACCTACGTGGGTTTGTTTTTAAAGAATACATAATGAAAAATGTCCTAAAACCAATGCTATAAATGCTGTAACCCAAAGACATTAACATTTCACATACACTGAACGTATTGGAGTTTTTTTAAGAATATCCTAAAAAAGTATTTATCAACACTACATAATTAATTTGAGATTCTGGGCATAGACCATTCTCATACCACACACAAAGAACAACTGTGGTTCTAGTAAAAGTGAGCTAACTCTGGGTCAGAACTGATGAGTGTAAGAGTTCAATATGACTTCAGACACCTTAAACCTGAAATCCACAGGACAAGAAAACATTCAATAAAGTCAAACACACTTTACTCACAAAGTGAGCTGCTGACTGCAAAACTCTAGCTCTTTAAAATATTAATTAGGAAGAAATCAGAAGAGAAATTAATGTTATTTGAATTAAACAACTTAGCTACAGATTATGCATACTCCAGTAGGTTGCTGATGGAAATCCTTTGTTCTGGTCTCACTTATTGCATTAAGCTTACACCGTTCAGCAGAGGTGACCATTTCCAAAGGTAATTTAAATCGTTCTTTATAAGGAGTGGCTGGAAACAAACCAGAGACATATTAGCATTCCACTATTTCTCCTATTATGTTTACTGTGTTGTTTGTGACATCAGTACAAAGATTTTTGCCCATGGTCACATCTATTCCATAAACTTATAAAAAGTTGGCTAGCATTGATGTCAAATCCCTATGTACCTTTTATAATTCTATTGATTTCATTGAAGTTACATGGAGGTTAGTGGGCTGTTATGTGGTTAATGACTCTAGGTGTCCGGAGGCAAACAATGCATTTATAGCCTGGCTCTGGTAGAAAACAGTTGGTCATCTATTTAAAGTTTTTAGAGTAATATGTTTTTGCTGGAATAGACTGTGGTTAAGTTCCAAATAAAAAATGTAAGAAGTTCTCTGTCTTGGTTCACCCTAATCTGAAAATGTTTTCTTTCCCAGCCTGTTACTCTTAATTTATATATAATACATGGGTATACATAACTAAGGATACTGATGCACTTGAGACAGTTAAAGCAAGAAAATTACTTTTTTTAAATTAGTTTTTAATTAATAATTTGTCATGCTGTTGTGCCACTGGTTCCATCTCCAGCCTCTACTGGTCTTCATCGTACAAATCTCTCCCTTGTAGAAAATATTAAATCTGTTACAGTAATACTATCAGTAGGAAAGTAATGACTCCCATTTGTCATAAAGTCTCATCTTTTTCTCTGCAAGAAGCATGTTGATGTAAGCATCAGTAGCACTGGATCTGTGACTCAATCTTGCCAGGGATCCCACCTTGCTCATTAGCCCTTTGAAGAAACGTGTGCAGTCCAGATAAGAGTAAAATGCAAGTGACAAATACACACATTGGAGAATGCTGATTTTTCACCATGATTGCTATTAAACGCACCAGCTGCTGAGCATTCTTTAAACCAAGAGCATATGAGGAGGAAGATGAAAAAACGCCTATGCTTTAGGTCTTCTGATCAACTGCTGACTTCTCAGCTTGCTCCAGCATGAACAGCAGCAGTACAAAGAATAGGTGGCCCTACTGAGAAGGCATGTGTGGATACCATCCTGCATCACATCTATGGACTGGTAGCAAGTGGTCTAGTTCAAAAACTTCCAAGCTTAAAAGCACCTGCCAGGGAGATTTTATAAGGTCTGCTTTTCATTTCAAGCTCTGCAAAGGATCACAGTTCATGGTTGTATTTCAAAGGCTATTTATAGCATATTTTGACCCTGAAAATTACTTGTGAACTTACATGTGCTAACGAATACCAGTGGACTCCTCCTGGAAAATCTGGTAGTTCCAGCAATAACCACAGATGCTTCAGACACTTTTCGTTTAGAAGATGTGGTTATCTTGAGGAACAGAAAAAATGTGACCATGATGCAACAGATTTCAGGATGACAACAAAAGATTTTAGAAAATCTGTTTCCAGGAGTCTTTTGACACTTTGTGTTTTTGGAGTGTCAATTGCTGTTGCTGCACACATCAATGTAATGTGATTCTTGGGCAGTTCCCATCTTAGAGAAAGTTCTCCAAAGCCTATCTGTAGGTGCTCCTGGTTTTACCACCTTACATTTATAACTTTGGAGTGATTGTTGGGCCGAAGAGGTTAGTGAATTGGACCCCTCTCAGTTTAAACCAGAGCATGAGGTATGCAGAGGGGCAGTCCCATGTACTTGTGATTTGGATAACCAGGCTACAGGAGTCACCTCCACAACCACATGCTCTATTGTAATCAGTATTTGCATATGCCAAGCCTGTAACACTAACTACAGCTGTTATTATTGCTGAACACTAGGAAGTCTCCAAAGGCTATACTAGACTTTTGCCTATCATAAGAGATCTAAGCATGTTTTGAAATCAGTTCTGTTTAAAGGAAATTCTGAGCATAATGGTCTAACAAACATTAACAATTACTTTTTATTTTTGTCGCACTGTTATAGTTTCAAAACACGTTATAATGATAATTTTTTTTTGCAAAGGGATCTATACAGTTTAGCGCCAAGTCATAAGAAAAACTATCAAAGCCTGCATTAGTTATATTGAAACTGTAAAATAACAGGATTTTTCTATTATAAAATACGATAAATATGTAAATATACTTCTATTTTTTATGTACTTGTTTTCTGTTTTAATAATCCTGCTTACCTTGGAGGAATCACTTCTGAATTTTTCTTGACTGCTATTTTTATTCAGAGTCCTCAAAGTTCCAGGAAGTTGCTGGGTTTTGTACTTACTGAGTTTCTCCTCTTCTTCAGATTTTTGTTCCAAACATGGTGACAACTGACTTTCTGGTATCAGAACCTATATAACAGTTTTGATTTTCAAAATTTGTATACAATATTTGGATTTTATTATGCTTTATATTTATACAAATACATAGAAAGCAATGTTTTTACCCAAGTAACAAATTACTCACTGTAGAGTTTTATAAACTTCAGAGCTTACATACTTTTAGTTTCAAAAACATCCAACCTAACTGTTACTCTCACTAACAAGGAAGGGTTATAAAATCACAATTCACATAGAACTTTCCCTGTGTATACTGGAAGTATTCTATGAATTGGATATTAGCATTATTATGTCCCCAAATATACAATATATACTTACTAGAAATCACTTAACCATTTTGAGAGTTACCTTTACTTATTGGCATTTTAAAAGTCCTTGTTTTATGGGGAATGACCACAGGTTTGCTAATCATCAGACTAAATATAAAACCCAAGCAAACCACCATCTCAGCATATTACAGTAAAATACCTGTGATGCGCTCTCATCAAAGACAACGTGTACAGCTGTTTTGGCAAGAGATGCAGGTTGCTTCTTACTGAAGCCCTACAAAGGGAGGAACCATCTGTGTAAAATACATACTTGGCTTGCTTTTTTTAAACAAGAAACAGAAACTATTTAAGTCAGAGATCATCAGTATCTGAAAGCAGGTTATGTGGGAAAACAGATTCTACAAGCACAGAACAGCTCCATTCCTCAGGAGTCTCTCAGTCAGTCAGAGCTCAGGGCAAAGCATTTTGTACTGTAACTGTAAGTGTACTGCAGAACGGGATAACCCAGACATAATCAGAGACTCCCATGTTTGTAAGCATGCTGTTCTCATGCTTCTGGAAAAGCACATATGCAAAACTTGACATTAAGCTATAGCTATCTCTTTCCAGTCAGTTAATTTTTGTTGCAATTATTTTTAAATCTTAGAATCACAGAATCATCCAGCTTGGAAAAGACCTTTAATATCATCAAGTTCAACTGTTCCCCCAGCACTGTCAGGTCCCAAATAATCCATGTCCCTCAGCACATCTCCACAGCTTTGAAACCCCTCCAGGGATGAGGACTCCACCACTGCCCTGGGCAGCCTGGGCCCGGGCTTGACAACCCTTTTGGGAAGAGATTTTTCCCAAAATCCAATCTAAATATCCTCTGGCACAACTTCAGGCCATTTCCTCTCATACTTATGAGGAGGCATCTTTATTGAAGCGTAACATATACTGCAAGAAATGTTCTTCTGTAGTGGAAATGTTAATCAGAAACTTTTTGTATAAATAAATACCAATAATCACAGCCATATAAAATTTGTCTGGCAATTAGACATTTATTTTGAACCAACTAAAAACTGTTTGAAAATGTCTTTAAATCTTACCTTGCATTTACTAAATCCATAAATTTTTCTCGCTACTTCTTTGATTTCCAAGATAGAATCAAAATACAATAAAATTTTCTCTCCTTTTTGATTACCCACATTCATTGGGCTTTTTAGATCTATTGTTAATAATTTCTTCGAATCTTTTTCTGGACATAAACAAAATTTGAAAAGTAGTTTCATTACAATCTAACATCTCATGTAAATTTTGAAAATACATGAAATTTACTCATTCTTCAGTTTAACTACTAAAATGTATATTTTATTTAATTCACTCTAACCTTGAAAAATTTTACTAGTGAAAATTCAAAATTCAATCTTTTAGAAATACTTATTCTGTATATTATCCTGTAGAATTTTCCTTGAAGGTTATTTACTATAGATGCAGGCAAATTACAGATATTTACAAAACTATTCTAACTAGTTTTAAAAGAATATTACTAAGTACCATTGTCTTACCCCTTATTTTGCACTGAAGCAACTATAACAATTATTTTAGAATTATTTTAATAAAATCACACCCGCATGCCCAAAGTACAAATGTGATTTCACCACAGTTTTAACCCTGAAAAAAACATACCTAGAGTATTTTAAGCAGGAACTTTTGCTTTGCTGAGAATTGAGTCTTTAGGATCCTAAACTAAACTTTAGGATTAATCAATTTGAAAATCCAGGTTAGTGTGTAAGAAAAAGTCACATTTTTGAGTGTCAATACCTTCAAGGCAGTACAGGTCTACCTCTTCTTCTGGTATAACAACTGTTTCCCAACGCTGATCCTTTTATGGAAAAATACATATTTTTAAAGCCAGAAAAGCATTATATTGCAATGAAAGTGTAGTGATCAGAAAGCTATTCAGCAAGGACAAATCTGACTTTAAATCCTCTGTTACAAGGAGTGACAATGACCAAATGCTTTATTGATAACAGCAAAGAAGGTTTCAGAAGAGCTTTGGCAGAGACGTTAATCTGAACAGTTGAGTCTCCTCTACAACAATTGTAACTGCAATTTTATAAATGGCTTCTTGTTCATGTGTGCATATGTTACACAGCTCACCAACAGTATTAGAAAGTCACTCTTTTGAAATTATTTGACCTAAATATGCACACCAAAGCAAGATTTTTTTTCCCCTTCACACTACAGATGCATAGACAACTTCCAGATGTTGATGTGGGGAAACAAATTTGATACTCTTGAAAGAATGTCAGCCTACTGCCTCAAAACAATCTAGTCTGAGAGACAAAAATTAGCTTACTGCATCATCTGCTGCCACATAGAAAGATATACTTCTGCTACCAACATTGAAATCAATCCAGAATTCTTCAAGATTTTCATCCAATGGTATCTGTAGCTAAAATAAATTTTAAAAAAAACAGACAAAAAGAGTAAGAGTGGAGAGTAATGATTTATACCAGCCAACAGGCTTTGTGTTATAGCCTGACAAACTTCAAATGTATGCACATCTGTATACAAAAAAAGAAAAAAAAAAAATTCTTACTTGATCCTTATTTTTCCTTAACTAGAAGGCAAAGAAATTATCTAGCTGCAGGAATGAAAATCTGTGGGTATGATTAAGCCTGTAACTTACCTCATAAGTATCAAGAGCTGCTGATAAACAGGGATATGTAAAGACCCTGTAAGAAAAGAATATCGTGTCAAGTAAAATGCTGCAAATTTTGCATATCTGAACACAGCAACTACACTGTGTTTTCAGCACAAAACTTGTCTGCTTTAGAGACTAAGGATCACAACAATCACTTGACTGCACTTCTTCCAAATGAGATAACATGAAATTTTATACGTCCACACAATTAAAGCAGTGGTCTCAGACCTCTTGCAACCATCTTCATACTTCTAGCTCATCTGCTTATCTTTTAAGAGTATTATTCAAATAAGTATACACCTGATATAAAGACATAGCAGACATCCTCCCTGCTGTCATGACATAAAAGTAACACAAAGAGCACGTGATCATATAGATAAGATGAAAGCTCATATTTACTCTTCCTTTTGAATCCTATTTCTCTAGCAGATATTCTGATTGATCTCTACCTCAGTGTAAATATACACCAACACATAACAAGCTGTTGGTAGATGATACCTTTATTGCATTAACAAGCACCTCAGGGATTTTGTCACAGAACTAAACAAAAGACAAAAATTAGCTCCTTATAAAATTTATTAGAGGAAGTGTAGCATAAACTGAAACTTAGGTTTGTCTTTTTTCCAAATATGGAAATCACATAAAATTAACCTCTTGATAGAGAAGTTAATACCAGTGACAGTGTGCATAAAGATGGTATTACTCAATTGCTTTACTACTTAATATTTTAAAAATATCTCAACTCTGTGTTGTTCCTTGACTTCATACCACAGTAGTATTTGTCTTATTTACTTGTATTATTTTAAATCAGAGTTCCCCCAAATCAGTTTTCATGATACAGTTTACTCCTGATGTATAGTCATAAAATCCAAATAAGAAAACACATTAGCTTTAAAAAGCTCAGTTTTACCTTCTTTTGTCGCCAAGCATGCCATTCACTTGGTTAAGAAATTTTCTGCAATCCTATTAAAACACGGAAATTCCTTAAAGAATTGTAAGATGAAAGTTTACCTCCCTAGAAATATTTTTCAGATGACTTACTGTTTCAAACTCAGAATCTTTAATCCCTTTAAATGCATTGGAGACAAACTCCATGGAAAACCACTGGCATGCCAGTTCTCCTCTTTGCTTCTCTGTTATCATTCTGCATAAAGCTTCCGTGATGGCTACTTGCAGGTCATAGTCTGCAGCACAATATATTTTACAGGAATAGAAGTTTTAAAGATTCTACTATGTGAAAAAAATATTATGTAGGAAACTGGCATAAGCAGTGCTGAACGTTTCATATTATACATCACATTGTATCCAAACACATAACCTACAAAGGGTGTACAAAGAATTAAGAGAGTAAGTACAACTAAACAACTTATGTTCCAAAATGAAATTTCAAACAAACTTTCAGGAAACGTCAGAGCAACAGTAGGCATATAAGCAAGACATAGCAAGTTTTCAACTTTCACCCGTCTGAACTGGGAAATTGTTGGACACCAAAGCAATCCCTGGGAGAAGTGATAGTACTACTAAAGGTGGCAAGCAGTTCACTGTCCTAAAAAGGCAGACATCCTTAGGAGCTTTTGCTATCTTAAAATTGCTATTCTAGAGATGAAAACAACTGAACACTTCAGAGTTAGCCACACACTGCACACATCTGAAACATTGCAGTCTGCATGCTGTATTTTTCAGAGGACTGTAATTGCAACGTTCTGCAGCTTCTAAATGTCTTCTCTGGATTTCTAGTATATCTACATATAATTTTTAAGAAGCTCAGTATTAAAATGTTTAAGTCCCATACTCACCTCCAGCATCCAAAATTCTCCTCCCCATGTCACCCCTGCCAGATAAAGTAATACTTCATCAAAATATGACAGCAACACAAAGCACAGACAAAAAGTTCACTTAATTACAAGCTTTCAATGTATGAGACAAATCCCTGATTCCACTAAAGTATTAGACTTCAAAGGGATGAGTCTGTTATGTTAAGGAAAACATCTGAAAGTACTACTGTGGAAGCGAATCACCTGATATATATAATGTTTATTCTATTTGTTTTTGGAACACTTGTAAACAAATGTCTCCATTTGAATTTCCCAATGTGCCTGATTCAATGTGCTTTACACGTGTCCTTATAAATAACAGCTTATTTTAAGACAATTGCAATGAGAATAAGTGTAACCCTGATAGGGGAAGAGAGAAATTTAGGCTTGCAAATGACAATAACCCATGAGAAAACCTGCCCCCAGCCACCATCCCTGGCACCACAACAAATGCAAAAGGAAGTTAAACTGGGACCAATTGGCACACATCACAAAAAGCCTTAGTGAAAACTGCCTTCAGCTATGCAAATGTTGTAATGATGTATAAATTATACTTCAGATTATTTACATGACAAGCAACATTTCCTTTGTTGAAAATATCTTTTTCCTGGCATCTCGAGGCATGTTGTCAAGCATTAAATTAAGTTTTCTTACTACCTAAGAAGAGTGGAAAAAAGAGAGTAAGGTTAAACACAGAAGAAGTTGTTAATTTTTTTTCTTATATAGGAACTTTGCAATATGTTTGTTACCACTGAAGAAAATAACATGCTTTAATTGCAAAAGAAGACAGTGAATATAGACCTGAAATCGTATTTATCTTAATATAACTACCTAAATTTCAATAAATAACATTAAAAATTGATGTTCACATTAAATCCAGAGGGTTATGTTTCTTATTTGCAGGTTTAAATGTAGAAAAAAAAACCTTTCAGAGCTTAAATTCTGCCTGCAGTTGACTACTGGCTAAAGTGTACCTTTCATTTGCATTAAAAAGCCTTTCCTTTGGGTATGCAGCCTCTCCAGAAGACTTTTGGTAACTTCCCCTTTCTTTAGAGGAAGTAAAGCCTGACAACCTGAGGTTACTAAAATAAACAGGCAAAATCTGCAGTATCCTAGGAGGTATACAAATTTCCTGCAACTGTCTAAAGAATTTACAACCAACAATCTTAATCCTAATTACAGCTGTTGTAATAGACTGTATTATTTCCTACACTTTTACAGAGCTTTCTCACCAGACTCTTAATACCACTTCTTTGTAATTTACTGTTCAAACCAAATATTATAGATCAGTAATCTGAAATAAGGCAAAACAAAAACCCCAACATAAAAACAACAATAAATATGCCCAGAGAAATATGAAATCATCTCTCTGCTGCTAAACCAGAACAATGTTCTCTTTTTAAAGTAAATTGCTATCTGCACAGTCTGTTAAAACACTAACAAGTTGCTTAGAAAGAAGAATGTTTACCTCTTGCTGAACATAAATACTAATTTGTTCATCAACAATGAGGGTACATGTTCTCAGAACAAAGTTTTCTAGTATTTGCATTTTACCTAATGAAGAGGAAAAAAAAATTAAAGAAACATTGAGAGAGTAATAGGCTGCCTTCTCATCAGCACTTGGACGAAGGTAAGTTTTCATTCAGAAGTAACATACAGCATGCCTTCCTCTCCATACAGGACTCTTCATATTCAAAACCAAACATCTACAAGCTTTATGGTTGAATGCAAGACAAAGTAGTTACTTCAATTTCTAGTGAACACAGCTCTTTAGGATGTTCCTAAGTCCCCTGGGCATGAGGTCATTCTTTTTAAAATAGAATTGGATTAATTCCGTAACTTAGCGCTCTGAGATATAATTCAGACCCTGGAATTTGTCTTCCCAGGGACAAGGAAATGAAACTTCCATTTTGATTGTGACATCATAACAGTCTATAGAGACCATCTACCTGGGGCTCTACTGACAGGTACAAGCAGAGTGATATTTGTGATAACAAGATCAATGACGAGGCACTACCCTGCTATGCAGACCTATAACAGTAGCTTAGAAACAAGGGTCTTTTCAGTAAGTGGGTTTTTTTCCCTGAAAACTGAACTTTTCCATTCAGTTTCCATTTCTGACAAGACTAAATTATCTTGCTTTATTACAGACATCAAATTACAAGGAAGTCTATCAGTACAGAAACCTCAAATTAAACTGTCCAAGACAGAATTGACACCCAAGCTTCCTTCACATGAATGAGAATTGTAGTCCCTTGTGCACAGAACAGCTCTCATTAAGAAAAGCCCTTTCCATTACAGTTTATTATACTCTCTAGTATACAGAATATCATATGAAGCATATAGATATGGTGGTGTATTTACACTAGACCAAGAAACTCTATACCACCCCTAATCACACATGTTCTTCTCAGAACTCTCTTGCATCAAAGTGGCTCCACCAGTACTAAGAGTTATTTCCACACCGATAACTTTCAAATGTCACTTTCAGAGCACTTTATCACATCTAGTGCACACTTTTTTTAAGCTCACCTTCAGGTCTGTTATCACATACAGCCTACAATAAAAAACAAACCAATACACATTACTTTGCTACTGTAAATATTACAGCATGAAAATCAGTTCACATGTACTTAAAGCAACTCATCAAAAAGCATTTAAGATTTTAAAGTTATTTCATCCTTAATAAAGAAAATAATACACTTCTAATAACCTAGTATGGTTCCCAAAATTATATTTCAGTTAAATTTATGGAAATTATTTCCCCAAAGACAGTATTTTCTATGAACAGAAGAAAACTCAGAGATCTTATAAACTTGGGGTCTTGGGATTAGCATACCAATAATTTCTATAATCAAAATTAGATCAAGATAATTTTTTTCTTATAGTTTACTGAACACTTACATTGTTGGGTTTTAAAATTTTATTTCATTATGGTAATCATAAACAAAACATGATTATGAATACAGGCAAATCAGTTCTCCAAAAAGACTTATAGAAATCACTGTAACATTTACTGTAGAAGGATATTAAATAGAAACACATTTCAAAGTCTTTTTTTTGGTAAACCAGTAGTAATTATTTTGATAAAACACACAACGTATTTTATTATCAATATATTTTTACCAGCAACACATTGAAGAGGTCTTCAGCCAGATTTATAAGCGTTTCATTCTTTGCATCTCCACTGAGCATGAAAATCTCTTTTATCTTTTCAAACCAATTAACCATGTAAAGGGAAAAGAGAAATCTATTTTAATAGCATGAAAAAGGACAATAAATGGTATTATGCTTAAATAAAATTATTGAAACTACATGAAGTTTGTATATATAAGACAATGCTACCAGCCTGCTGAGCATACTTTAGCCCCAGACTGAAATTTTTCACATTTAAAATACCCCATTTAAGTCTGAATAATGTTTATTCAAAATTATAAGACCTTCTTAATTCAGAAACAAACGAGGACCAAATTGAATACAAAGCTGTTCAGCACAGAAGCATTACTCATGCATGATTTATTAACTTTTGAGGTTTTTTTAAAGAAGTTCATGTATTCTTTATTGTTTTACTTATCCTTCCAATAAGACCGTGTTTTATCATTGCTGGGAACCCGTCTTCTCCTGCTATGCTGACATTCTTCCCACATCTCTGAACAGAAGTCAGTAAAGTAGAAATGTTTTTGACTTCTTGTTTGTCAAGTTCCTGAAATTGAAATCAACAAAAGCTTTAGGGTACAGTTCTAGAAGAACCTCTATTTAATTAACCAGATGCCTTTTTGTTCTCAAAAGCCACCCTAACTGGAGCTTGCAAGTAAGATTAAATTAAGATTTCATGCTTAAATTTTATTTCAGTTTCTCAAATCAACTGCTGGTATAAACCAAGCCACATGAAATGTCTATTTTCCAGACTACTGCAAAGACAGTATAGATAATTTTGATGTAATGATTACCTTACCCGACACAGCAACTTGTCAAATTTGTTGACAAACTGTTTGCTGCATTTGTAAGAGACATTTTCACGGTCTTCTGTTGCCAGAAATTGTTCTAATAATCGGAAATTGTTTTTTCTTGTAGCTTCATCAATTAACTTTTCAAGCTGTCAACCATAAAAGAAAACAGAGCAACTTTACTACGGTATGCTTAACACTGATACTGATTTAACAAGGTTTAACATAAGTTTAATGCATCATCTGCTATATTCTAAGCAAATATTTAGAATCACAAAATCACTAAATGTGAAGCCTGCTTATCAACCAAGTTTTTAATTATTTGCCAGTTTTTCTTAACTGAAAGGGTTTTTTTTCTAATTAATAACAACTTCCAGTTCCTCTTGCTTTCTACCCAGCTACTTAGCACTAACCTATGTCAAAGGGAAAAATTCTTCCTATCACATTGTCACCTGGTAAATTTTACTTGCAGTTATATACCAGAAGTGCTTTAAGCTAGTAACTAAAGCAATTAATACTCATACTCTGATCCATAAACACATACCTGCATCTCTTTCCTGACTGACATTTTTGCAATTCATGTATTCAGCTGCATAAGAAGGGAAAAACCATCACTTCAGCAAGACACATTTCACTGATACAGACATCCAACAGGTTTGGCAAACACCTCAGAGATCATTCAAAACATATTACAAACTCCAAAAATTGTCAACAGTATGAATGCTATTTAAGAAATTAAACTGAGGGGGGGGGGGTACAAGGAAACATCTTTAGATGGATAAACAATTGCTTAAAATGAAACAGTAGCAGGAACAGTCAACTTTAGCCATGGTGGACCAGCAGGTCCTGCAGTGGACTCTCAGTATTTTTCAGTGAGATCAGAGCATGGGGATGGCCAACCACCCCACCAGCCCCGGGTTATCCACAGGAGGTAAGGCAACAGCAGAACTCCTCAAGGGCCTCATTGTAAACTGGTAGTTGAAGGAAAGAGTAATAAACGCATGCAGGGGAAACAGCCTCAACTACACACACAGTGATGGGCTCTGAGATAATGATTGCCATCAAAAGGCAAAAACCTCTAAAATCATAGTTCTCTGAAAACATTTTTTTAATAGTCAAAGGCAGACAAAAGTGTTTTAACAGTTTACATGCAAGAAATCAGCTTTTTCTTGTTTCCTAGAAATTAATCTATATCGACCAGTCTACCATGTGCGGTTTGGGTCTCCCCATGCTATAAATTACATAGAATTAGACAAAACAAAGGGAAATAATGACTGAAAACAGTGACCAATTTCTGTGGAACGAACAACTGGGAACGCACACTAGTCATTTCTGTACTCCAAAATAATACAGAAATAACAAATACAGGGCGGTTTTCAAATTATTTTTCCCAACACAAGAACACAACAACCTACATCGAAGCCTTTGCAATCACCTCACAGGTCTCTTGTCTCCTGCCTAGTCAGACAAGGCGGAGAAGAAAACACGAACCCCTCCCATGTGCCGCCTCCTCGACGAAGGAGGGAGATGCCCGCCCTGCAAGCACACGCAGCCGC